GCTTCAAATCCACTTAAGACAAAGAAAAACAGATATTCAGTGTTTGGCATTTTAGAAACATTCTGTTGACACCCTTTTAATATAGTGTTGAAAGAAATGTTTATATACAAACTGAATATTAATTTCAGTGTCTGTCACATTTTTCAAAAGGCCAAAATTCACATTTTTGAACGGAACAAATATTTCCATTTCCACCTCCAGAGCTCTGCCAAAGAGTGTGAAGGGGCCAGATTTGGAAATGAAACAATCACAATCAACTCCAGCGATGACGGACACACTGAATGCTAATATGATCGGTCTCGACCACAGAGAGAATCCAGTCTGAGTTGGGAAATCCTTCACTTTAGAGGGGTTTTCATACTGAAAACCTAAATACACCTTGTTTACAGGCATATGACCAAAATGTCAAAACACCCACTAAATATTTTGTTCCCACTTTATTCTATTCTCTGGCAGCCTGCTGACAGTCGCATCCTGCACAGTTCAAAAAGTGATTTTGTTGCCAGGGAAACTGTGGAAAGGTCGGCAAACAGCTGAATTCAGTTTGAAAGACTTTGATATATTATCTTATATAGTCTGAGAAGTGAATAATGTACCTGTGCATCCAAAACCCACCTACCTGTGGCTTACAATGAGGTTCTTTCTTATAGTAGTGCACCTTTAAAATAACTTCCCTATGCTTCAAACAAAGTGTTTGCTGGTTGGTCTAAAACCCCCTCCCAACACACCTTTCAGAATTTGTACCTTCCTGAAACTGAGAAACGAGCCCACTTATTGCAGCCAGTGGAAGTGTGCAGAGGTGAGAAAGCGAGCAGGGTTTTAACTTCTCTCTCAAACACATTTTCACACAATTATTTCCATCACATTTCGTGTGATGCACCACAATGAATGCGTTTGAAAAGAGACTGAAAATGTACGCTGTTATCCCCTGTTTGATCGCATTTAGCCCATCTGTATGACAGACCACACTTTTGAGTGTGACCATTGGGAACAGTTATAAACAGATTTGCCTTCAGATGTGGCTGACAACACGTCATATGAACTAGTTTGTCTATGAGGAAACTGACAGCTCGGTACTGGAGAAACGTGGGAGACAATCTAACCTTGATGCGTGGCAGACAACAGAGGTGAAATCTGCTTTGGCATATTTTGGTCATTGCTGCATTTGATTTTTCTGTTTGGCCACTTGCAGGCAGCAGAAAGAAGCTGTAAAGACAACACTAACATACAGTATTATCACCTTTTTTAAGTTTGTTTAGTGAACTTGCCTATTTAGAAATCCAGCAGATATGGAGTGACATTCATTAGCACTCATTTGGAGTCCAATATTCACTCTGTTCTTATCTCCACTGATCCCTGAGGGAAATATCTGACTTGGTTAGTTGCTAAATGCTTCAATGTACACCAGTTAGATGCTAATATTGTCTGTCTGCCATTAGTTGCTGGACAGGTAGAGTACAGTCAGCCCGTATTTGATTCCATCTCTCTTCGGCTTCTGCTACCTAACAGCAATAAAAACACTTTCCAAGAAAAAAAAAAAAGAACTGTTCTTTGTTTTTCTTGAGGATGGAACAAAGCTGTTTTACTGTATCAATATGTAGGAATACCAAGCTCAGCCCTGACAGCATTCAGCAGACTGCAGCTATTAGATCTGGACCAGCTCTTCAAACACACCAGAGATAGTTTCTTGATACTTTAAAGGTCTCTTTCAAAGGAAGAGGACAGACACCCAACAACCTCTCCATGATAATTCAGCCATAGTGGAGGGGGGAGTGCCTTCCATAGGATGTACCACATTCTTTCACTGGGCAGAAATTACATTTCCTGGATCTGTTTGAGTGGTTGCACAGTAATGCAGTCTGCTTCATTGACAGTGGGAAAGATCAGGGGTTAGAATCTCCCAGTGGAAAGATCCTAATCGCAATCTGTGGTTGGTATTCATTTTGTGTTTGAACTCTTCATCAAAGGGTTGTGATTGAATTCTCTGGACAAAGTAGATGGGCAGTTCTCCCAGTAAAGCAGCATGCGACATGGTGACTCACAGGGTCCGACATTTGTTATTAGCTTCTCTGGCGACATTGAGCAGACAACACTGTGATGAAAGTAAAATGCCATCTGAAAAGTTGCCTTGTGCATCTCTGTGGTTAGTGGCGGTTCTCATGAAAAAAAAGCACATTGAGGGACAGCAGAGTACCACAAAACTTTAACTGTAAATGTCATTAAATACATTTATTTGTCATTTCTGGGATTATCATTCTATAGATTTGGTCATTTTTTCCATATTATCATCTGTACTCTAAAGCTTTTTCATAATGCAGAAGATCCAACAGTAACTTGCAAATTTTAAGACATATCAGTTATTTATGATACATTCTTATATTAAGAAATATTTAAAGATCCCCTCCAGACATTCATTAAGGCACATAGCTATATAAATATTCTGCTTGGAACAATTATGTGTTTTCCACAAAAAAAACCTATAATTTAAATTTTAAAATCTATAAAAAAAGGCATCTACTCATACCGCATTAAAAACTCCAGACTATGAATATGCAAATAACGTTTTCCTGGACAACAGGAGTCTTCAAGTTTCTACATCTGACTTGTATAAGTTGCATACTGGACCTGGATAAACTCCCAAACAATTGTTAAATGCTGATACAAATAAATCATGCACCTTAAAAATCTGATTTTCAGTGAGCACAGAGAAACTTTCCATTCTCAGCAGATTAATGTAAAAAGATAAAATCCAGTGTCAGACTCTGCACATACATCGCTCTGCACAGTGAAGCTCAAACTGTAGGAACAAGAAGGAAAAACTTATTTTTGAGTGATTTAAAGAATATAATATTTGATTGTATCACAAGATCAGCAGATGGAAAACTGTATATGCATTCTTCCCGAGGACTTTGAGAACTTTCCGTCTGTTGATGAAGACGTGATAAGACTGAAAGCTCCAGAAGATTGGGGTTTATTTTTGAATGACATTCTCTTTTATTACATTAAAACAAACATTTCTTTTCTTTTCATTAACAGTGTCCATGTTACTTAAGATAATCCATAAACCTCAATGTGAACAGTTTTCAGGGGGCAGCTTCTACTGAAGAAATAGTCCCTCTAGGAACCTTCAACAGCATTTTGTGTGGATTATCCAGAGTAACAATTGCATTGTTTGTATAAAGACATTCTCCTGTTGAATTGTTTTTCAATGCTGCAAGTACCAAAATGAAATTCTCACTCTCCATTATATGGGGACACCACTTGAGATCACATAATGTTTTGTAATGATGGTGGATGAATCCTTTAACACACAGCTCTGTCTGGCAGAGGGACATCATCAAGGCAGCCAGAGGTCTTGGCCACTTTAGGGGCCAGAAGTATAATCGGTTATTGATCCCTTTGCCGTATACCCTCATGACTCTTCTTTCTGTCTCTTGCCTCAAGTGGTGTGTGGGTGGTGCTGGATGAACTGTTAATGAGGTTTTTAAGGACTGTAATTGACAGGAGCAGAAGGTCATTTCTGCACAGAGATCTGAGTCTTGGCCAAACATGTGATCAGGCTGGTTGAGAGTTCAGACGACTCATCTTGTGAGGACTTTGAGGATGGAAAGTGTGTGAAGTTTTGAAGTGTCGGGATGGAACTCAGCCAAGAGCGGAGAGAGGAGGCAGACAGTGGAAATATATCAGAAACACGGGACCTGAAACTGACAACCGAGCTCAACCAAGGAAAGTGGAAAATGTGGTAAAGAAGCAAGGCTGCAACTTACTGTTATTATCATTATTGATTAACTGACATAATCGACTTTACACTTCAAGATCGGTTTAGTCATCATGGTGAGAGCTATTACTCAAAAAGCAGTTCTGTCTTCTGTGGCTCTGGAGGAGCTTTGTCAAGTCTGACAAAAATAATGCCTTCGGGATTATCTGGGCTCGGGCTCGGAGACTACACATATTTTAATAGATAGTCTGCGTCACAAACGGGGGGTGTAGAGTTTGAAAAAGAGGGTGTTTCCCAGAAAAATAGGGCCTGATGAAAAGATGCTATCAAGTTGCATTAGTGAAATAAGTAGGATCTAGTATTTCTGGAGCCATTCGAGGGACTCAAAGTCTGGATATCTCAGCCTCAGCTGCATACAGCAATACTAAATTGTTTCTATCATTTAATTGCTTTGACTATAAAATAGTGAAAATTGCTGTTTCATATAGTCTTCAATAGCTATAGCATATATATTCAGTTTACAATGTTATAAAAAAATAGAAATATGCAAAATGGGCAGCTGTGGCTCAGAGGAGACACATTCACTCAGCGTATGGCAAAGTCCATCGAACAGAAACGTACTTCATTACCTATGTATCGGCGAGCCACTTTGGGTTCAGTATCCTTTGCTCAAGGATACTTACGACATGGGTGGCAGGGACCGCGGATCGAACCACAACCTTCTGATTGGGGGCGATGACCCGGGCTC